TTCCTTCCTTCCTTCCTTCCTTCCTTCCTTCCTTCCTTCCTTCCTTCCTTCCTTTCTTTTGAAAGAGACAGCACAAGTAGCGGGGAGGGGCAGAAGGGGAGGGAGAAAGAGAATCCTAAGCAAGCTCCATGCCCAGCTTGGAGGCCAACGTGGGACTCCATCTCACAACTGTGAGATCATGACCTGAGCGGGAATCAAGAATCAGAAGCTCAACTCACAAGTCACCCAGGAGCCCCAAGAACAAGTCCAAAATGAGTCTTGCAGATTAAAAACAAGTGTTGGCAGGTGGTTCCTTCAGGCGACTCTAGAGGGGAACCCATTTTATTGTTTGTTTGTTTTTTTTCCAGCTTCTAGAAGCTGCCCACATTCCATGGCCCCTTCCTGCCACCGCTCCAACCTCCGGCTTCTACATCTCCCACTATTGGCTTTGACCTTCTTGCTTCCACTCAGAGGGGATTACATGTGGTTTCATTGGGCCCACCCAGATAGCTCAAGATGATTATCTCAAGATTTTTTGCTTAATCACATCAGCAAAGGCTCTTCTGCAATATAAGGTAACATATTCACAGGTTCTGGGGATTAGGATGTGGGCATCTTTGGGAGCCAGTATTCTGTCTTCCCTAAACTCTATTAGGCTAAAAGATAATTATGGAAATAATAATTTTTCTTTTTTATATATATAATTTTTTGTTTTCTGTTCTTTTTTTTCTTGAGAGTGAAAGAGAGAGAACAGAAGCCGGGGAGGGGCAGAGAGAGAGGGAGAAAGAATCCCAAGGAGCCCCATGTCATCAGCACAGAGCCCAATACTGGGCTCGGACCCATGAACATTGAGATCATGATTGAGCCAAAACCAAGAATAGGACACTCCACGACTGACTCCAGGCATCCCTGGAGATAATAATTTCCATCAAATAGTGCTTAGAAATCACTTCCTCCAAGAAGACATCCAACACTGGTTTAGGGTCTCCTCCTATGTGTTCCCAGAGCAACCTAGGCTCACCACTTCACTCTTATAATACTGTATTATAATATTGATCTTGATTATATCTTCCACCCTAGACTATACAATTCTGGAGAGCCGGACTGGGCCCAATTTATTTTTTGTATCTTTTGTCTTCAACGCAGTGTCTGGCACATGGGGGTTGCTCAATAAATATTTGTTGTCATGAGGATTAAATGAGACCATACAAAAGACCCAGTGGTATCTGCTTCAAGTTGATGTTCAGATTATGATGGATGCTTTTGTTAACACCCGTTATACCCAAGAAAGTGGGAGAATTTCTATGGCTGACAAGTAAAATGTCTCCATTCCTAGTAGGAAAATATAAGATTGCATACCTTGTAGCTTAGAGAAAAAGACCCTCGGGGGCAATTAGAGCCAATGTCATGGTTCGCCTTTTCTGTTTTTATTATAATTTTCTTTTGCCCAGAACCCACCACACATTTGCTGTAGAACGAGTGCTGGCTGCCTTCCAGAGGCCAACTGGGACATGAGCAGGCAAAAAGGAAGAGCCCCATTAACTGTAGTTCTTCACCCCCAATGGAGAGAACAGAAATGCAACCGGGGCCTATCTCTTCCCCCCTCAATGGGCCACCGTTGTTTTCCTCTGCTAATGTTTATGCCTGGTACAGTGTAGGGGCAAGAAGGCGGACAGCGGGCCCAGTAGTTCTGGGCAGTCTCGTGGCACAGGATTCACTGTATTCTTGGAGTTGCTCCTCTGCCTTATGTAAGTCATTCCTCCGTCAATTTCTGTATCTGTAAAAACACATGACTCACCTCACAGAGGCCAAGAAACTCAAAGACTTTGTGTTCTTGTCATTAAAGGGGAAAAGTTAAATCAAAAAGGCTGCCATAGACATACCTATCAGACCATTATTAGACCAAAGCTAAAGTGAAGACCAAAGCAAGCTTTGATTTCATTTCAAAGCACGGAGCGGGGGACCTAGTGCCAGAACTTTAAAGGTGCATGCTTTAAAGTGAGGCTGCCCACCTCTATGACTTGGATTCAGATTCAAACATGTCCTGCCATAGGACCCTGACTCCCCTACAAGTACATACAGTAGGACTTGAACCTGCAACCTTGCCTCTCAATCCCCACGATTGAGCCAAGCGGTAGCATACACCGATCGTGCTGACAGCCAGAGTGGGATTGGCACACCGACCATTTTGCTGACAAAATGGGGTCACGTGGTCTGGAGAAGAAACTTTTTGATGATTTGCGAATGTATTTCCATGAAAAGGATAACAAAGTATAACAAAGCAAATATATATATTTTTTCAAGTTTATTTACTTATTTTGAGAGAGAGAGAGAGGGAGAGAAAGAGAGAGAGAGAAAGCGGGGGAGGGGCAGAGAGAGAGAGAGAGAGAGAGAAGGAGAGAGAGAATCCCAAGCAGGCTCAATGCTGTCAGTGAAGAGTCCCACGTGGGGCTGGAACTCATGAACCGTGACATCATGACCTAAGCTGAAATCAAGAGTCGGATGCTTAACCAACTGAGCCACCCAAAACAAATATTAAACAGAACAAATATTAAACCAAACTTAGTTTTGCATTCAACAAGACTCTCTTTAAGAACAAATAATCAGGCTGCCATGAGCTTCTTGAAGACTGCTGTGTTTCATTTATTTTTAAATCTCTGCCTTTAAAGTATCCTTAAAATAGTTTGGACTTGAATACATGTTGACTGGTTAATTAAGTATTCAAAATTGAGTATTCAATCAAACACTAGTTCTATTGTCTTTGCAGGGATGAAAGAGGACTAGAAGACATAGTCTTTGCCATCCGTGGAGGCAAGAGAGTAAAACAAATTAAAAAAGCAAAGGGACATTGTACGAGTGAAAACAAATTTGCATCCACATACAACTTATGCACTCTGGTAACATGAATCATTCATTTACTCTCTCGTTTTTATCTCCCGACAAACATTTTGTAAGTACCTTCCTTCTATGAGACAACAAGGGAGC